TATTATTTACACTATTTACATGTGGACTATTGTCCTCATCTTTGTTGTTGTTATGAAGTTTTGGCTATTGTGCCCCCCCACGAGCCTTCATGAGAGTAACTCACAATGAATTACAAACGGAACCCTTTATTTAACCCTGCGCTTTAGTCACCTTGGATTTCTGAAAATGGATAATCCCATGGGGTCTGTCTCCCACATAAACAGAGCTACAACTGTACCAAGTCAGGAGAGTAGTGGGAGGGAGCCAAAAAACACACAAAAAAAGTTGCCAACTAGAAATTACAAGTGCTTTAAAAATTTTGGGGGTAACAAAACACGGCATGTGACTAACACAGGGTTAATCTTTGTTCTTGTTCCACTGCCCATGTCTATGGATATGTCATCTAGTTTATTTTTAGTACTGCTCTGTTATTGCTCACCCTGTTTCCACCAAGTCCAACACACTGCCTAGTCCCAGGATTGAACTCACAATTACAATGTAACAAAATTCACAACAATGCTTTAATCCACTAGGCTATTGTTCCATGAGAGTACTCACAATAACTAAGCAATACTGAAAATAAGAAATAGATGAGATATCCCTAGACATGGTAAGTGAAATGTGACCAATCTAACCTTATAGATTAAATAAGGGGTTCTGTTTGGAATTCCTGTAGGCTAACCAGAACAACATACATTTGAGGAAGACCAGAGGGTACAATAGCCGAAACATTGTGATAACAACAACAACAAAAGATGAGAGCAAGAGTCTGCATGTAAATTATGATAACCCATCCCAGAAATTCAAAGAGAAAAATAATATTTCTTATTCTAAGTATGTCAGATTGTTTGCCTTGATTATTATTCTTTGAAAATAGAATTAAGACAGCAGCAAGATTTTCATTCCATTCCTTCAAGTCATATCTTCAAGTAAAATAATTTCAGCTTTCACAGAAATTAAATGGCTTAATATATAAAGATAAGATAATTCTAAATGTTAAGTCATATTCTCACAAGTTGTACAGCAAAAGGGAAAAAGTGAAATAACAAAATTAAATGAATATATATTTATTGAGAAATGGTAAAAGTTCTAATTATTAGTTTTCTAATCATTATAAAAGTTGAAATTGAATATTACATTCAATCCAGTCAGCCATACACTGAAGCATCTTCAAGTTTGAAAATGGGAGGACAACTAAAAAAATACATCAGTTTCAAAAAAATATTAGATAGGACTTTAAAAAAAAAAAAAAAAAAAAAACACAACACAAACAGATTCCATTATATTTCAGGCAATTAACTTGAATGCAAATACTACTGAAGTCAACACCCAATCTGTTTCATGCTAAACGTATTCATCAGGCCATAATCAATAGCCTAACGATTACATTTAGCATGAAAGACTGTTGCCTCCGAGTATTGTGATATTGAGCACTTTAACACATAAATATAGCATAACTTAAAACTATATATATGTAAGCAAATATATGGATATAGATCCGACAGTATGAAGAAAAATATACAGAAAAACAAACAAATATCCTTATAAGCAATTATTAACATTAAAACAGCATAATTGCATATAAGGATTTTTGTTTGTTTTTCCGTATATTTTTCTTCATATATATATATATATATATATATATATATATATATATATATATATAAAAGTAGTAATGGATTTTATATTTATTGATCCAACAGATTTTATGACTTAAACATATTTTAATAACATTTTTGGATTAATAAATAAAAAATCCATTACTTATTTAGAAATTGCTTTGTTTGTCTTAGGATATGAAACTGAGCAGATATGACTGTTCCAAGAGTTGGAGATGGATTTACATTTATAAAAAGGCACTATTCAGCTTCGGTTGATATATGCACTCTGTGGCTAAGTCAGTATAAGCAAGTTTCTCTTGCCAAGGTAAACATAGATTCAAATGCTGCCAGAGAGCACACATTTTTTCTTTAAGATTTCTCAAATATTCAGGCCATTAGACAAAAATAGATATACTGCTTAATAAATAAATGGGTTGTCTACTAAATATGGGTATTCACTAAGATTAATGCATGCATACATACACCCACATACATACACACACAATCTCCACACAACTTAATCATTAAAATTACCTGAAGATAGTGTGAGCATGAAACTCTGGTTAAAACTAGGGCCATCCTTTCATAGGACTTAATGTTAGGTGTTTTTTATTTGTTTTATCTAGGCAATCTAGGCTTTGAGCACTTTACTGATAACTTACTTATATGTAGGTTTGCCTTTAGGCCTTTTTCCAGTATTGTTGTTTTTGTTTGAGACAATCTGGATAAGAGATTTAGGTTTTAACAAGTTGTCAAATCCATCAACAGTTTTTTTTCCATATATATATATATATATATATATATATATATATATATATATATATATATATATATATATAATTTATTCTATACCATATAAAATTCTGGTAATAAGAGCAACATAAACTATCTATTTCCTTTTTTTAATTAAAACTTGAGCATCGTTAAGCTAACTAGAAAAGTTGAATAAAAATAGTTTGTAAACATGTTACATGTTCTTATCCAAAAACATGTGGTAGTATAGATATTATATTTGATGTTTTTATGCATATAACTTAGGCTTAAATCTAATAAACCAGAATCAATCTGAGAACAGCAGAGCAATTGGGAGTTACAGATGCAATCCACATCAAAAACATTTTGCATTTCAACCTACCTATAGTAACGGATGACAAATTAAAAAAGTAATAATAATGTGGTAAAGCTGAATGCATAAGCACATATTCTGCTCTAATGTTTATCACATCAAGACCTGAGTATGCTCGAGATGGTTGCAAAGGTCAAGGAATATAGTAAAAAAAAAAAAAAAAAAAAAAAAAAGAGATCTACTACAAAAGTTACAAGAGCATGTTGAATATTTAGCATTAATTTTCTCTATATTCTTGCATGGGCCTAGTTACAAAAATGTTACTTAACTGAATAAATGGATCACAGATTCAAAGGATATAAGTAATATTTCAACCTAATTTCCAGTTGTGGTGGAGATGGTATGTATGCTGTACCAAACGGTGTATATACACTGTTTGGTGCGGCATACATTTAGTGCAGGAATGAAAGAAATCTAATCTGAAGTTAACATTAAAAATATATACTTCAATGGATATCTGTAGCTGATTAATAAACTGCATTTTTATAATGACAAAGAAAAAAAAAGAAAAAAGTTTTTTAAAAGTTTACTACCCCAGACAGATGTTATTCTATTATGAAAATTAATCCCTAAGGAGTTTTGATTTTAATTTTATAATAATTAAAAACACAGGGGTAAATAATTTAAAAGAAAAAAAAAATATATTCTAAATATTATAACTGTTTTTATTTTTTATTTTGTATTTATTTTGTTTTTTCCAAAATATTCTGAATAAAATGTTGACATGATAGTTAAACAGATGCTGAACCCATCATGTGGTCATGAAATAATTCTATTTTCCTTATCATTCACAAGTGTGGAACCTTTTAAATAATTTTACAAAGACTTGACAGAGCCGAATAATAACAGGATCATTGATGTAGTAAGGTGATGTGGCTGATGAAAACCAAGAAAATTAGGTTTGAAGTAAGATATGTCAAATATTAACTAAATAAGGATTCTTTTGATTTGTGATGGCATTGGATTTTCTTTTCTAATTAAACCAAAAAGATAATCACACACACAAATAATTTTACTGATGATCTTTGAAGTTGGTGGTTCTTGACTAATTTTTCAACTTATTACTGACTTAAGTTTTAGAATCAGAAACGTTACATCTAATCCTAACAAATTATTTTATTTATCAAGTAAACACAAGCAAATATCAATGACCAATTTGCTACAAAGATACTTTATCAGAAAAATAAAATTGTTTTTTTTTCAAGTTTAGTGTTTTTGTTAAGCAAAGAACATCTCCAATGAATTTTTACATAAAATATTTGTGCATAAATCTGTTCAGATATTACATTAAAAACAAATTAAATGAGTGCAAGAAACCTGATGAAGTAGGGGAAAATTCCCCAACAAGCATAAATTAAGACTTATAAATTCTTTCTACAAAAAAGTGTATTTATTTTTATTCTCTAAAATTAAGCATCACAAAATGACCAACTTTACAAAATGAAAAGAATTCTGAGGTTTATATACAAAGAATAAATGAGCAATCAAGTTTCATGGAATTATAGGAAATTGAATTTATTTTATAAGTGTTGGTTTAAATTTCAAATTTATGAGCACACATATTTTCAATGGTTAACAAATGGTAATTTTGACATAGTTGCACTATTACCAATTTTAAACCTTGTTATATGGAATGGCACGAAAATGGAACAGAGCTGGTAGCATATTTTAGAAAACATCACACCTGATTTTACCATGGAAAGAAAGAGTTAACATTTGAGTAAGTTATTAATCTAATTTAGAAAGAAAAATAACAAATACGTAAACAAATAGAAACACAGAGAAACTGACGAAGAAATCACACAAAGAAATATTTTTTTGAAGAAAGATAAATAAAAATAAAATTCCAAAGAGGAAAAACAAATTTGACAAGAAGTGTACGTGGAGTAAGAAAGAAAGAAAGAAAAAAAAAAAGAAAAAAAAAAAAACATTTTCATAGAATAAATTTCACATTATGAAATTAATGTGATTTTTAATCTTTTGTTATATGGATGAAATTTCAGAGAGAACAGATTCAAAATTTAATTTTGGTTGGAATTTTAGAAGATTATGTATTTATTTTTCTGATTGTTAAATTTCATATATTAGTACCTATGATTTTCAAGTTTGATGTTGGGAGTGAATATTAGAAAATATTCCCACCAAAAATAAAATGAAATAAAAAAATAAAAAAAAAATAAAAAAAGTAAAGAAAGAAAAAAAAAATATAAATTTACTATCAACCATTTAAAAACCAAAATATCAAAAAACAAATAAATATTAAAGAGAACACAGGTGAGAATGTCAGAATTACCTTCTTCTACAGTTGCATCCAATTGCTTAACCTTTCTGTGTACATCCTCCATGCGTGACTGTAATTGGTTAAGTCGATTGTACACGGAAGATGCTTCCGTGAACAGCTCTGTGAACATGTCCTCCGCATGCTTGCTCAAGCTACTCAGCTGACGAATTGTATTGGCTAACGTGTTATTTGCCACACATTCTAACTCATTTCGGACAGCAGGATGCACCCCTACATTGCTCACATGGATTGGTTCTACTATACGTTTTATCAAAGGCATCTTTTACACACAGCTCTGAAAAAGAAAAGAAAAAAAAATTCATGACTTTTACAGTGGATTTTCTTTAACCAAGGTATTTCCTCAGCAGTATTTTAAGTTATAAATTTAGTTAAGAAAAGAACCTGAGTACAATTAACACAAAATGGCCTATATCTTTAAATAACTACAATATTCTTATATATAGTAGCTTAAACATGCTGAAAAGTCAAACTATAGCGTTCTTTTAAGAACACCATAAATCACACAGAGTCAAATACAATCATTGTCAATTTCTCTAAGCAGAAATCAAGTGGAAAAAATGAAATCCAAAAGCTGATATTTTCAAAAAGTTAAAAAATAAACATTTTCATTTTAAGTTATAAACTTGGCATTTGCTTATTTCCTGTCACCATTAATACAATGTTCAAGCCCAAGTAAAAGTGAAAATTTGAAATGATGATTTTTCAAGGATATAGCAATCTATCACTTCCTTTGTGGTTCTGAAGCTGAGCAAATATCTATATCTACCTACCAAACAAACTCAACAAAAAGAGTCTTTTAAAATCTCCAAAATGTAAATTTATCTGTAAATGATAAACACCGTTATTGTACTGAAGATTTATTTATATATTTATAACTCAAAAATTCTTTTTATACAATCTAATCATTTAGGACTTGTTTTGAACAATGCACAGGATCTGTGTGAAGATGGCTCTCAAAAGCTCAGCAAAGCAATAAGAAACAGGAAAATCTTGTTAGAAACGAATAAAAGAGTGCTGAACTGTTAGACAATATCAGTCCTCCTATATGGCAGTGGATGCTGGCCCACCTTATCACAGATGAAGTAACTTACAGTAACAGAAATGCAGTTCTACAGGAGGATACTGAGAACACCATGGGCTCAACATGTGAGCAACAACAAAGTTTTAAGGAAAATGGAAACAAGAAATGTTTAGGAGAAAATGAGGAAAGAGGGTCTGGAGAATTTAAAACACTCAGAATATACTGAAGGCAAGAGGGACAAAAAGTTATGAATAATCTACCTAATGAACTTGTGTAAATAGTTGACAGAACAGAGAAGAGATAGCAAAAAGACAAACCTTACTAAGAGCTACAAAGGACACAGTTCTGGAGAGCCATGATCACCAAAGTCCTGAAGGGACATAAAAGCCAAAGTTTTGAATTCTAATTTTCAAGGCAAGCAGGTTTTCCTCACAAGATCAATGGAATACAATATTCTTTTTCTCTCATTTGACAATGTGACAGAGCCAATAAAGTTAGTTAATATTAAAAATCAAAATCAATTTCTTAAACTCAGCTTCAATGTCAATTCTTCAAAGTTCAATAGAAAAAGTACAATCCAATTTATGTAAACCTGAAAAAAATAAAATACTCTACAAAGATGGATTATTTTTTTTTTATTTTAACCATTTCAAAATTTCATGAGTAACCAGCATTATTGGAATTTTGAAGTGTTTGAGCCAAAAAAAAAAAAAAAAAAAAAAAAAAAATATATATATATATATATATATATATATATATATATATAATTACAGCAAAAATATAGCCAAAACGTAAAAAAAAATTGAAGTTATCAGAAAGAAAAAAAAAAAGAGCAAGCAAAGATGGGTCTGGAGAGAAAAAATAATTTCTAAAAATAGAAATTAATCAATAAAATAAATTAAAGGTTGTTGTGTAATGAATATTGGCTTGGAATGAGAAATCAGAGAGCAGAGTTCAAATTCCAGTCAGGTTCATTACATTCACTTACACAAATATCCTTGGGAAGTTATGAATTCAACTCTTCTCCCATCAGCTATGGGTTGAATAGCAGAACAGAGTGGATCCTATAGCCTTGAGTGGCAACCAGTAAGCTACAGAAAGAAACAGCAACCTACTGCAGGAAAATTTTGCCCAGTCAGTCATGAATTGAAAGAGACATGATCACCCAAGTATCATGTGTGGCACTTAACTGACAGACTGAACCCACTCTACCACATGAGAAATAAAAAGCTATATTGTTTTGCCAATTTTCAATTACCAAAAAACAGATTGACTGGAAAGAGGTGCCTCCTGATACCAAAATCCAAGAACTTATGAGGTATAGTCCTGTGGTTGTTTTATTAAAATTTTCTAAGTATTTTGGTACATGCGTACTAAAAATAAATTTTTCCATGTTTTTAATTTTTGTTGTTTGTCAATCAAAATAAAAGAAATAAACGTAAACAATCAAATAAAAAAAAGCCACGGTTTTTTTTGTGGAAGGGAGCAAACGATAAACAAACTTTACAAAAAAAAAAAAAAAAAAAAAAATTATGCCAAATTCTTAAAAAGCAAATTTCAAAAATTTCCTTTGGCTCACAGTTGAAAAAATGAAATATAAATAAATCTTCTCAAAGTCTTTCTTGGTGGCCACTGATATAGTTAATGAATGGGATGATGAAAAATTATATTTTTGGTTTTAATAGTACTTTGTGACCATTGAGGAATGCAGTGAACATGAAGACAATTTTACAGAAAAAAAAATAACATTTATCAGAGAGATGAAATTTAAATTTTTATTATTGCATTATTACAAAATTTTAACACATTAGCAGATAGCTAATAATGTCAATAAAAGAGCACAAATAGTTATTAATTGATGTATATTATCCATAACTACATGTACAAGAATATCATTCTTGATAAGTTAAAAAATAACCATAAATACATAAAAAAGTGTATATTGTAAAAAATTCCTTTTTTCACAATATAGCTATTTGTGCTATGTTATAAATGCTTATTACCTAAACAATAATAATACTGAATTATTTTTTTTTTAAACATTAAAGTATATTTAATCACATCTCCCTGTCACAATCTGTTAAGAAAAACAAAAAATGCTTTTATAGAACTTCATTTAAGTAAACAAAAACAGTTTAAGAGTAAGTGAAAGGACAAATGAGCAAGTTTTTGTAGAAGTAAGGAACAAGCTTGATTTGGACCATTTCAGCATCTTTTTTTAATTACTTATAAATATGAAATTGCTAATTTTGTCTGCAACAAACTTTTTACTACTTTTCAAAAATAATAATGCACTTTTAACAGATATATATTGAATTTTTTAAAATTAATTATATATTAAAATAGTTAAAGAATTTAATTCTATTACAAATTTGAGGCAAATTTCAACAATCTGATTTCATGATTTTTTGCACTTTTAACCCATAAGGCAGTTAAATCTACACAGAATATAAATTCCAGTTAAAGACAATATTTTCTGAGGATAGTAAGATTTTGGAAGGAAAACAAAGACCAAAAACGATTAACCTCTGATGAGGATTTGAAAATTGTGGAGGAAAATAGCCCAAAAGTCATTAGAGATATTGTAAACTTCAATATAATCGGTCAAAAAACATCAAATCTTTCAAGAGTAAATGGAAAGTAGAAATGTTCAATGAATAAGACTTCATTTAAGAACAAAAGGAGAAAAAAAAAAAGACAGGGCAAAAAATAAGAAAGAAAAACAGATGCCTTTCTTAATAATGCCCAACAATAGGAGATTGATACAAAATTGGATCAATCAACATTTAATGATGAAAGATGGATTTTTGCATCAATAGCCAAATACAGATGAGAAATACCAAGTAAAACCATACCACCATGTTTGGAAGGTTATAGTGAGAATTTCATAGGACAATAGTAGTATAATATAGTTTATTTCAAATCAAAGTGGATATATATGAGGGGGAGACATACTCAATCAGTACCCATTTTAATGAATAAAGAGTGTAATTTTGCTAAATGATAAAACATGTTTATGTTGCAAAAAATGTGGTTGAATCAGCAGGGTTAGTAACTTTATTATATCTGGCTTCATTTATAAACATTACTTTTTTCAGGCTTCTAGATGACTTCTTTAAATCATGAACATATTGAAGGAGCTTGTAAGGAATGTATACATTCTTTGAATGACAGGTGCTTTAGATAACAAATTGACAACCTGCTACCAAAGAGTATTATTTTCATAATTATCTTTGATTAATAAATTATCAATCTATTAAACAAGCTGAAAAATCAATACTGAAAGGATTAGAGATCTTAGTCTACAAAAAAGACCCTAAGTTCAAATTGATTTTTTATAAAATCAAGCCTTAAGTCAACAGATGCCAGTTAAGGATTCACCACTAAGCCGACCTCTCAACTGCTAAAAGCCTTCGTTTGCTTACAAAGGGATGCTAATAAAAAATGTGTTGCTTCTGATTAACAAAAATTTGATTGATGGAATATTCCTGATTATTTTTATTATACTGATTTCCAACAAAAAAAAAAAAAAAAAAAAAAAATTAAATAAATTAATTTCAGATCTAAGAATAAACAATAATAACCAACAGATACATTGAAATTTTCTTTTATACACACACTATATATATATATATATATATATATATATATATATATATATAAAAAAGACCATCCCATAAGTTCTGTCTAAAATATATATGTAATTTCAAGCAAATTTTACAGTATTCTGAAATGTCAAATGATACTGATCAATAATTATATAAATTTAGAAACCTTTAACTTAATATAATTTCTTTTTACATAATAATTTGGCCGAATTAATTACTCAAACCAGCCCCTCAAAGATGGAAGTGTTGAAGGAGCATTTAAGACACATAATGCTTTATGAGTTTAAAAAAGGGAACTTCGCAGCTGAAGTGACTCGAAATATTCACTCAGCTTATGGAGAAGAATGCCTGAATGAAAGAATTTGCAGAAGATGGTTTGCCAAATACAGAAGTAGAAATTTCAGCCTTGAAGACCGAACAAGACATCCAGTTTAGTTTGATGATGAGCTCCTTATGGCATCACTTGAAGAAAATCCTGCAATATCAGTTGAAGAATTGACAATGAAGTTTCATTCAAACCATACAACTGTTCATTGTCATCTTCAACAACTTGGAAAGGTTACTAAACTTGGAAAATGGGTGCCTCATGAATAGTCTGAAGTCAACCACAAACTCCGAGCTGACATCTGCTCTTATGAACTCATC